GAAACAGACCCTTCAGTCCAACTCGTCCATGCTGACCAGATACACTAAGTAAATCTGGTCCCATTTGCCAACATTTGTCGCACATCCCTCCTAAACCCTTCCTATTCATATACCCATCCAGATGCCTTTTAAACATTGTAATTGTTACCAGCTTTCTCCACTTCCTTTGGGAGTTTGTTCCGTACACTCACCACCTTCTGTGTGAAAAATTTGCCCCCTAGGTCCCTTTTAAATCTTTCTCCTCTCTCCATAAACCTGTGGCCTGTAGTTTTGGATTCCCCCCATCCTGAGTGAAAACACCTTGGCTATTCACCCTATCCATACCCCTCATGATTTTATAAACATCTATAAGGCCACCCCTCAGTCTCCAACGCTCCAGGGAAAATAGCCCCAGCCTATTCAGCTTCTCCCTACAGCTCAAACCCTCCAACCCTGGTAACATCCTTGGAAATCTTTTCTGAACCCTTTCAAGTTTCACAACATCCTTCCTATAGCCGGGAGACCAGAATTGCACACGGTATTCCAGAAGTAGCCTAACCAACGTCAATATTTCAATTTGATGTTTGAATTGCCAAGAGATGTCTGTAAAGAAAAAAGTAAAAGTTTGCAGCTATTTAGGATTTCTCAAAGTGCTTCCAAACAGATTTGTGACTGTTGTAGTTGTAGGAAATGTAATAACCAAGTTGTACATAGCAAGATCTCTAAATGATATTAAGATAAAAGACTAGGTAATTGGTTTTAGAGATACTGGCTAAGAGATAAATATTTTCCAGGAACTGAGAACTTCCTTCCCCTGCTTTGAATAGTATCATGGGATTTTGGACATCTGCCTAGGCAGATAGATCTGCAGGTTAGTGATCCATTTGAAATATGGAACCTCCGATAGTGCAGCACCTGCTCTTTTACTGAATTGAAGTGTCACCTGTATTATGTGCCTGAGTATCTGGAATGAGATTTAAACCCATGACCACCTGCATCAGGTGAGAATGCTGCCTGAGAGCCAGCACTGACACCATAAACACCAATAATTACAATTTACATTTGCATACCTCGTGCTTCAAATTGATGAATGGGAAGAATGGACAGCAGGCCAAAGAACAAAGGTCTAGGAGGGATGAGCAAATGTTTGGTTAAATAGCGCAGTTTTGACAGCATTACGAGTAGAGGAGTGAAGGGAATGGTTGGACAAAAGGCCAGAGGAACTTAAAATAATAAAGCAAGATTTAAGGGCAAATGGGGCTTGTCAGGTTGGAGAAGCATAGGTTTTATAGTAACACATCATTCCTTTGTTGTTAATATAGACTGCTTACATTCCTCAGCCCATCCTGCATTGTAAATTGAGCAGCTACTCCAGTAAATCTGATGGTAGTCCAGTAAAGCATTGGAAATATATTTTGCAATTTCCGTGGCAATGTAAATAGTAATAAAGTGGAATCCCTGTTTATTCCACTCCACCACTGGTCCCCAGCACTATAGATACCACTCTTCAGTCAATTCCATTCACTCCATGTGATATCAAGAAATGTTTGGACACACTGGATACTGCAAAGGCTACAGGCCCTGTCAACATTCCGGCAATAGTACTGAAGACTCGTGCTGCAGAACTTGCCGCTCCCCTAGCCAAGCTGTTCCAGTACAGTTACAACACTGGTATCCACCCAACATTGTGGAGAGTTGCCCCAAATATGTCTTGTATATAAAAAGCAAGACAAATCCAACCCAGCCAGTTACTGCCCCATCAGTCTACTCTCGATCATCAGTAAAGTGGAAGGTGTCATCAACAACGCTATCGAGCAGCACCTGCTCAGCACTAATCAGCTCAGTGACGTCCAGTTTGGGTTCCGCCAGGGCCACTCAGCCCCTGACCTCACTACAGCCTTGGTTCAAACATGGGCAAAAGAGCTGAATTCCAGAGGTGATGTGAGAGTGACAGCTCTTGACATCAAGGCTGCATTTGACTTCGTGTGACATCAAGGAGTCCTAGCAAAACTGGAATGAATGGGTATCGGGGAAAAACTCTCTGGTGGTGGAGTCATACCTGACACATAGGATGATGACTGTGGTTCTTGGAGATCCGTCACCTCAGCTCCAGGACATCTCTGCAGGAGTTCCTCAGGGGAGTGTCCTCAGCCCAACCATTTTCAGCTGCTTCATCAATGACCTTCCATCCATCATAAGGTCAGAAGTGGGGATGTTTGCCGATGATTGCACCATCAATCAATCAATGTTCAACACCATTCACCACTCCTCCGATACTGAAGCAGTCCATGTTCTAATACAGCAAGATCTGGATAATATCCAGGCTTGGACTGACAAGTGGCGAGTAACATTTGCGCCATACAAATGCCAGGCTATGACCATCACAAATAAGAGACAATCTAACCGCTGCCCTTTGGTATTCAATGGTATTACCATCACTGAATCCCCCACTATCAACATCCTATGGGTTATCATTGACCAGAAACTCAACTGAACTCCCCATATAAGCACAGTGGCTACAAGACCAGGTCAGAAGCTAGGAATACTGTGGCAAGTAACTCACCACCTGACTCCTCAAAGCCTGTCCACCATCTACAAGGCACAAGCCAGGAGTGTGATGGAATACTCCCAATTTGCATGGATGAGTGCAGTCTCAACAGCACTCAAGAAGCTTGACACCATCCAGGACAAAGCAACCAGCTTGATTGGCACTGCATCCACATGCATCCACTCTCTCCATCACCGATGCTTCAAAAGTAGCAATGTATATTATCTACAAGATGCACTGCAGAAATTCACTGAAGATCCTTAGATAGCACCTTCCAAACCCTCGACCACTTTCACCTTGAAGGACAAGGGCAGATATATGGGAACACCGCCACCTTCCAGATCCCTCCAAGCCACTCACCATCCTGACTTAGAAATATATTGCCGTTCCATCACTGTCGCTGGGTCAAAATCCTGGAATTCCCTCTGTAATGGCACTGTGGCTCAACCCACAGCGGGTAAACTGCAGCAGTTCAAGAAAGCAGCTCTCCACCACCTTCTGAAGGACAACTAGGGATGGGCAGTAAACGCTGGCTAGCCAGCGACGCCAACATCCCACAAGCAAATTTTTTAACAAGTCGGCTTGGCTCAATTAGTAACACTGCTGTTCAGATCAGAATATTGTCAGGCGAACCTCCACTACACGCTTGAACATAACCTCTCAAGGTAAACTATTCCACAATATATCATTCTAATATGGTAAGAAGGTACAGTGTTAAATTGCAGGCTTGCCTGCCTGTTCTTACAGATAAAGATTCCAAACACAATTTGAAGAAAAGCCATTCAGAAAGAAAATATGTACCCAAATGCTGTCAACATTGTCCCCTCAATAAAAACACAATGAAAGATAATGATTAAATCTGGTTATTGATTAATTTACTTCTAGTAGCAGAAAGCTGTGGAGAAAGAAATTAGGCAGTCACCTTTTGTGCAATCGAATGCTTAAAAAGTACTGCTTTGTTTCGTAAAGCAGTTGTGACATTCTGAGAACTATATGATTACAATTCCGTTTTTTTTTCTTTTGGTATACCAGGCAGATATTTTGGATGAATGAGGTTATTAGTTTTGTCCCATAGCCGTTCAATGTGATATGTTGCACCGTTGGATCAAAAGAGGTATCATGTGGAGAGATTAAGGATTAAATGTGATGTCTGCTATATCAAAGGAGATTTGTTGTCTTTTGTAATGTATGATTAATGAGATGACCAATTCAAGGGTGAAAAAAGTTACTACAGCCTTCATAACAATTAAATGAAAAGAAGCAAAAAAGAATGGTTACACTGACGTTCACACCCTCTTAAACTTGCTATGACCCCTCCTTAGCTCTGTGATACAAATATTGGAAGACTATACCTTCTTAGGTCATTTAAGCGTGAGGCATTTATTCAAGTTTTGGCAGGAAACTTGCTTACTAATGTTGTTGAATACATTGTAGTTTAATAATTCATTACGCAAATATACTGGTAAACAAGTTAGAAACATTAATATTGTAAAAGACACAAATATGTTGCATTAGTTAACCTTTAATTGTTCCTCTAAAAAGAATTACCCATTAATGATTTCTTTTGTCTCATTAATGTAAAATTGAAACCATGTTATGTTGCTAGTATATATTTTTCTTGTAAGTTAAATGTGGAATTAACTGAGTGATATTAATCTGCTTCACTCAAGCTATTTCTAGTTAAAAGGCAAAAAATATAAGCAGTTTTGTGGCCAATGCTGAGGAACGAAAGGACGTTAACAGACTGATTTGCTGTCAGTGACTGCGGCTAAGGCTCCTATCGTGTCAGTGTGCCAAGTAAACACAAGCTGACGTAATATGGACATCTTCATAATGATCTACTTTATGTTGACGTCAGAAGTGTTGCTTCATAGTGTGGCACTTCTTGAAAGCTGGAACATGATATGTTATGCTGCAATAAATATTTAAAAAGCTAATTTTGGCCTTTTAAAAACCAAAGAGAAATGTTGTTTAATAAAACACTGCACAAGAAAATCTGCTGTCAAGTAGTTGTGAATTTTATTTATATCTTTAATCAAGGATTCAACCAATTTTTCTGCAATATCTGTGGCCAGGAGACCATAAGAAACAAATGTAATAATTTTGCTGTAGACACAAACGTCTTACTTTGGAGTACTTAGTCAAACATGATTGTAGAATTACTCTTTAGGGATAACATAACATTTCATTCTTGAATAAGCTATATTGCTTTTTATTATTTGTTGGTCTTTGGTCCTACTTATTACGATGATATAAGTACTTGGCATTCTCAGTTGCTAAAAATCTGAAGCAAGATTTTACATAATCACAAAGTCTGGCTTGCTACTTAACTATCTAGTATTTTCTAACAAAAAAATGTTACTCTTACCAGAGGTGAATGTTTTCTATCCACTTTGCCCCACGGAAAGGAAATGTTTCTTTTCTGAATGTACTTTCAATTTATATTTTTTCCTTTCTGTTTTTTTCATTGTAGGAATAGGTTGCCCTGTTCCTCGTGTTCCAGCTGAGGCCAGCCCACTAGCAGATCATGTATCAGCTACTCGTATTCTTTGTGGGGCTTTGGTTTTTCCTACTATTGCCACTATAGTTGGTAAATTAATGTTCAGCAGTGTCAACTCAAACCTGCAAAGGACTATTTTGGTGAGAAACATTCTTCAATTTTAACAATTTAAACCTGTTTTTGAAACACACATTCACTCGATGTTTTCATACAAAACCTTAGATATTTGTCGATTAGTATTGGATAGTCAATGTTCTTGCGTATATTCTTATTAATGGAGTAAATTCAGCTATAAATGTTAACTACACTTGTAAAGAATTTTTCTCAAATGTGCCCACCTGTACGTAGTCTCAGTGGACAGCCTCTGAATTTGAAGGTCACAGGTTCAAGCCTAATTTGAGAGGCAAGGGCATAAAATCTAGGCAAACTCTTCAGTGCTATACGGAGGAGTGCCTCACAATAAGGGTTGGTGTCTTTTAGATGAGATGTTAAGCAGATACCCTGCTTGCCTTTTCAGGACATTTAAAAAAAAAAGACTTTATTTGATTTGATTTCATTTATTATCTTACATGTACCTAGGTACAGTGAAAAGTTTAGCTTTGCATGCAGTACAGGCAGGTCATACCGTACGAGGTGCACAAGGGTAATAGAATAGAGTTTGGAGATAAGAACATCCAGCCAATATTTGTTGCTCAGCCACCATCAAAAGAAACATTATTTGATCTTTTTTGTCTTTGCTGTTTATAGAGCCATACTATGAGAAAGTTTGATGCCTCAATTCCCTGTATTGTGACTACAATTTGAAAGTACTGCATTAGATGTTCAGCCCTTGAAGACATCCTGAGGCTACAGAAAGGGCAATACAAAGTTCAGCCTTTCTGAATAACATGTACACATAAAATAAGCTATTCAGTGACCATATGCTGAATATAAATTCTCTCCAATGATTGAAGGAAACTTGAACAATCCAGGTACTGATGATTTCAATCAGTCTAGGGAGTGGCACATTCAGCCAAGTCTATGGTAAATGCAGTGTTTATTAGTTTGCCATCAATCATTCTACTAAAGCAACTATTCTACTAATACAACTAGAACCAAGTTTAGTCTGGAATATTCCAATCCAAAAAGATAATTTCATATATTCAACTTTATTTTTTTGATTTACATTCTCCACTCCATGGTCCCATTATACCCTTGCCGCTAACCAAGAGACAGCAGTCCTGGATTTTTTTTTTATGAAACAGTTTTACTTGTGGTACCAATAATTCGTAGTGATGGAACAATAGATATGCCTTGTGTCAATTAGTAAAAAGTAAGTTTTTGGAGCATTTCAGTAATTTTATAAATGGTCAATTTAAATGTTCATACAACAGCAACATATTTATGTGACACTTTTAACAAAATAAAGCATGCAAAGTATCTTCACAGTATTATAAAACAAAAGTTGATTCTTGCAATTTAAATACAATGCTTTGTATTCTACTTGGCACCATGTTGCCATTTGTGAATTGAAGCTGGATATGATGGGAAGATACAAGTTGCGTTATTATATTGATGCCTTAACTTTTTATTTCATTTCTGCAGGAATATTCCATACAATGTTTTCTCTTCGAAAATTTGGTCTATAGCTATTCATTTTCTTTACAATGTTAAATTGGTTGAAGTCAATAGAAATTCATTATGTATAGGCTGAAATCCATAAGATGCAGTGCAGAACTTCACCAAGGCTCCTTAGACAAAGGTACCAGGCAATGGCCGTTAGTAAGAGTTCAGCTCCCTTTGACGTTCACTGGCTTTGCCATCAATACCTGTTGTCAATATCCTGAGGTTTAAACATTTGATCAGAAACTGAACTGGACCGATCATATAAATACGATCACAACAAGAGCTAGTCAGAGGCTCAAAATCTGTGATGAGTATTTTTGAGGAAGTGACAAAGACCATTGAGGGCAGGATGGTGCTTGTTGTCTACATGGACTTTAGCAAAGCCTTTTATAAGGTTCTTCATGGCAGGCTGATACAGAAGGTGAAATCACATGGCATCTGTGGTGAGATGGTAAGAGCGATCTAGAACTGCTTGGTCATAAAAGACAGTAACAATGGAAGTAAAGGGAGTAACAATGGAAGGATGTTTTTCTGACTAGAGATCTGTGACCAGCAGTGTTCCACAGGAATTAGTGCTGCTATCCCTGTTGTTTGTAATATGTAAAAATGATTTGGAGAAGAATGTCTGATTAGTAAGTTTGCAGACAACACCAAGGTAGGGGTGGCTGCGGGTAGTGGGGATGATTGCCAGAGGATACAGCAGGATGTAGATATGCTGGAATTGTGAGCAGAGAAATGGCAGATGTGAGGTGATGCATTTTGGAAGGTCTAACGTGGGAGGAAAGTATGCAGTAAATGGCAAAACCCTTAGAAGCATTAACATACAGAGGGATTTAGGCATACCAGTCCACAGTTCCCTGAAAGTGGCAACACAATTGGATAAATTAGTAAAGAACACGTATAGCATGCTTTGTTTCATCAGTTGAGTGTAGAAATTGGCAAGTCATGTTGCAGCTGTATAGAACTTTAGTTAGGCCATATTTGGAATATCCCATACAGTCTGCTCCCCACTCTACCAGAAGGATGTGGAGGCTGTAGAAAAAGGATATAGTAAGATGTTACCTGATTTAGAGGATATTAGTTATGAGGAGAGATTGGACAAACCTGGGTTTGTTTTCATAGAGGCTGAGGAGTGACCTTTTCAGAAGTTTACAAATTGAGAGGCATGGATAGTCGGAGTCTTTTTTTTTTCCCAGGGTAGAATTGTCAATTACTAGGAGACTTAGGTTTAAGGTAAAAGGGGGGAAGTCTAAAGGATCTGTGAGAGAAGTTTTTTTACAGAGTGGTAAGTGTGTGGAATATACTGCTGGAGGACGTGGTAGAAGCAGACTCAAAAGCACCGTCTAAGAGGCACCTTGACAGATACGAGAATAGGTAGGGAATAGAGGAATATGAACTGCATGGGGGCAAAAAGTTTTTAGTTTAGAAAGGAATCAAGTATTGGCACAGTCTTGGTGGGCTGAAGGGCTTGTTCATGTCCTTTACTATTTGTTTTTTCTAACTGTTGGCAACTTGTTACATAGCTCCTATATATAAGCCTTTTGAATGTTTGAAGGATTGAATTTTTGTCAAATGAACTTGAGTAGTTTCAACCATGTTCTTCACTGGATCAAGTTGACAACTTCAAGACTACTTCTGCATTTGGCATTTAATAGGTCTAAATTTTTCAGGTTCGCCTTTCACTGTGAATGATAGACAGTGCTCAAAGTGGAGTATTCTGAATAGTGCAATAATGGTCCACTATTTAATACTGCCAGAATAACAATGAGTGAGATAGTCCATTTCTTTTAATGTCAGCATTCTTCATTTTTTTAATCTCTCACGTTGTTTAAACTTCACCAGACAGCTTAAAAATATACATTTTTGTTATTTAAATAAGGCATGAGATAGGATTTTTGTACATCAGAAAACCAAACCACCAACCTAAGCTAACTGAATTGATATGATACAATCTCAAGTCCTGCCCTGTACCACATATGAAGGACTTATTTGGTTCAGTATTTAAAGTATTTGTTTCAAAACACTGCTTTAACAATGTTTGTTTTAATTTTTCTTGTTCATTTCATAACAATTTAAAATTGTTTGTTCCCTAACCTCAGACTAACTTAGTTGAATTAATTCTTGCTGCCTGGTAGCCTTATTAGCAGTGTAAATTCTATTTTATGACTTGGTGAAAATGATGGGATATAGCAGAAATTTGGGACCATGATTCTAGGACATTGGAGTCTCTGACAGTGGACTAAGTACTCTTATCTATTTATGTGGCAGGGTGGTATTGCCTTTGTGGCCATCAAAGGAGCTTTTAAAGTGTACTTCAAACAGCAGCAGTATTTGCGCCAGGCCCACCGAAAGATATTGGATTTTCCAGAAGAGGAGGCATGAGAAGAATCTGAGTTGAACCTGGTTAATGTGCTATCATTCTTATCTGGCAATTGTGCATTATTGGTTGTATAACATTGTGCTGTTATATGGTATTGTGGGTAGGCTGCTGGTGCAGACTAATGTACACATTTTTTTAGAAGCAAAATAAAGCACTTTCATTTGGCAGAAACTGGCAGCTGATGCTATCAGTGATCATTGAACCCAAGAATGTGATTGGCTTTGGTTGCTTTTTAAGCACTTTCTTTATCGTGATTTGACAGCATAATACTTAATTAGTATTAAAGCTAGTGTAACCTTTCTGTAACGCGGCAGATGTTATAGTTTATGGAATCTTGCATTTTAAATTTTGTTGACTGTACAATTTATTTTCAAAAATGTGTATGTTGGTTTTTTTTTTGCAATGCATCCTTTCATTAAACCTAAGCTAAACAAAGCCTCCCTTATTTACGTAGTGATTACACTATGTTCTGTATACACTAAGTTGAACATTTGGTAGCTTTTCATAGTTGACAATAATGTATTCAACTTTGTACTAGCTTAATGAAGAAAAGCAGTTTTTTGAGGTAGTTTCTCATTCTAGACTTGATCTCCAGCACACTTTGTACCGTGACTCATATTTTACGATTCCCTTAGTGAAAATATGCAAATCTTTTTTTCCCCTTGAGCGCATTATATTATGGGTAAGTAGATGTTTTACTGAGTTCTAACCTTTTTCCTCCTGCTCCTCCTCCACCAACATAATCACCAAAAAGGTTGTACTGTATTTTTCAAACATTTTGTTTCTCCACTTGTGCTGTTTTTCTTCAACAGCTGCAAAACGTTTATATTGGTTCATGATGTACAATATCAATGATCAGATTGAACATGTATTGATTGTACAGTATTGCCCATTGATCTGTAGACTTCATTGGCCAAAGTGTATTATAAATAAAAAATTTATATTAAAAATGCTTTATTGATACTTTCTACCTCAGGCTTTGTAAAATTAATGTAGTTTTAAGTCTTATAGTTTCACAACAGTGTCAGTCATTTAAAACAATAAAAACATTAACCATGGAGATTAGGTTTGAGCAGGAGCAGAATCATATACCACAGAAAGATGTAATTCAGATTATTTCGTATGCATCTATATATTTTTTTCCCACATGGGCTATCCGATCTAATCCGGTTTCCTGTCCAATCCTATACCTTTTCAGTAATATCTCAATAGACGAACTTAGAAATGAATGGGAAGGAACTAGTAGAAGTGGTTAATGGCACAAATGAGTAGATCTTAAGCCACTGTGGAAGATGGGAAGATTTAGTAAACCACAGGAATTTAGAGAGTGAACCTGAGTACCAAAACCTTGATAAAATTGCTTTGCCTTTGATGGAGGGGGAGAAAGTAGAGCTTTCATTTGTCATCTCCCGTTTTACCTGGGATCTCCACAATGTTGATTGATCACACTTCTCCATTTTCTCTTTTCAGCTACCTATTCCTCTTCAAATCCACTTTGTTTAGTTACTCACCACAGTATCCTGGCAGTCCCAGCTCCATCACTCAATTCAACATATTTGCTTGCTCTTTCTCTGCAACAGCTGACCATCCTGTTATAGTCAGTGTCCTGCTACTTTCTTCAACGTTCCCACAATCTTTACTGATGCTTCCTTGAGATACTGGTTCTTTTTTTCTATTCACTCAGCATATCTGCTTCTCATTAATGTGTTTCTGCTCACTTTGGGTATTGTGCAAGGCAGGTCTCCTTTCATTTTCAACAATACCTTTCTATCTCCTAACACTTCACTGAACTTCTTCTACTTCTAACGAGAGCTAATCATTTGTTTGTTTTCAATATTTTCCTTAACCCTTTTTTTTTACATTTCAACCTCCTGCCGTCACTGACAACAGATGCTTGAAACTACTCATTTTCCCCACGTCTTCATCCCTGATCCTTACATCTCCATTCTTATCCTGCTCCCAGGCTCAAACTGGCAGTCCTTTGGCTCTTTGAATGATCTTCAGACCCCTATCTTCCAGGGTTTTTCTCCTGCCCTTCAGATACTCAGACGTGTTCCCATCATCTTCACCACGTAGCTCAGTGAAACTTGCATCATCATTGACCGTGATTTCCTGCCTTATTTCTTCAGTTAGAATATCATGACAATCAGGAAGAGGTTGGGGGGTAACCTAAGATCAGGAGGTTGAGATGTGAAAACAGTTTGGGTAGAAATAAGAAATTGCAAATACAGCAAGTTGCTTGTGGGAGTGGTGTACAGGCTTTCCAACAGTGAGCGCACTGTCGAGTAGGGCATAAAGGAGGGGAGGCAATGGCCTAGTGATATTATCGCTGGACTGTTAATCCAGAGACCCAGATAACAGCTGGGGATTCAGGTTCAAATCCTGCCATGGCAGATGATGGAATTTGAATTCAATAAAAAAAATCTGGAAATAAGAATCTAATGATGACCATGAATCCATTGTCGATTGTCAGGAAAAACCCACCTGGTTCACTAACGTCCTTTAGGGAAGGAAACTGCCATCCTTACCTGGTCTGGTCTGGACTCCAGACCCACAGCAATGTGGTTGACTCTCAGCTGCCTCTGGGCAAATTAGGGGTGGGCAATAAATACTGCCTAGTCTGCAATGCCCTCATCACATGAATGAGTAAAAAAAAAGATGAAAGATTGTCGGAAAGGCGTGATGATAAGCATAGGAGATTTTAATCCATGTATCAACTGTAAATGTCAGATGGGCAAAGATAGCCGAGAAAAGGAGTTCATAATGTTTTTAGAATAGTTTCTTCAAACAGCCATTCTGGTCCTGATGTAGATGTGGGATTGTGCAATTAGGTCAGATTAATTAATGTTCTCGTAGAGAAAGTGACGCTAGAGAGCTGTGCCCATAATATGATTGAGTTTGCACTCAATTTAAGGGTGAGACGAGTGGATTTGAGACCCTTTCTTTAAATTTAAATAAGGGCAGATCTGGCTAAAGTGAATTTGACACATTAGGTTAAAGGATGTGTCAGTAGGGAAGGTGTGATAGACATTTAAGGGGAGGAAAAATTTGATGTAGAACTAGAAATACAAAAGCACAGTTTCAATAAAATATTCAAAAAAAAGTCAACCAAATGAGCTTTGGTTCTATGGAAAGTTACATTGGAAGATTAAGAATGGAAAATAAGGAAATTGCAGATAAATTAAATGGGTATTGGAGTACTTTTTAGGTGGTAATATGTGCTGACCATTTGGTAGGAAAAAAAAAATCATGTAAATGATGAGAGATTGCAAAGCTGAAATGCAGAAGGACCTGCGTCTCCTTGAGCATGGATTGCAAAATGTTAGAATGCAGGTACAATTAAGTAATTAGGAAGGCTAATAAAAGGTTGCAAGGGAAACTGGATATAAAAATAGGGAGATTATGCTTCAGTTGTACAGGGCATTGATAAGGCCACATCTGGAGCATTTTACACAATGTTGATCACCTTATTTAAGGAAGGATGTAAATGCATTGGTGGAAATTCAGAAGGTTTATTCGACTAATACCTGGTTGACTCGTGAGAAAAGGTTAAATAGGCAAGGCATGTATCTACTCTAGTTGAGAAAAGGAAAAGTTGACTTGATTGAAACACAAGGTTCTGAGAAGACAGGGTAGATGTGGAAAGGATGTTTCCTGTTATGGGAAAATTCAGAACCGGGGTGGTTGGTTAAAGTCACTGATTTCAAAGAAATTGGTTGAAATTCTTCTCTGAACATCATGAGTCTTTGGTACTGTCTTCCTCAACACATGCTGCAGAATCCTTGACTATTTTTAAGGCAAAAGTTTTTAGATTCTTGTTAAACAAGCGGTTAAAGGCTATGGGGTAGGCAGGAATGTAGATTTGTATAATCTGATCAGCCACAATCTTATTGAATGGTGGAGCTAGTTTGAAGGCTTTGAGTCAGCCCAGAGAGCTATGGACTTGAACCCCAAGTTCCCTCTGTACATCAATGCTGTTCAGATATTAACTGTATACTTTTCCTTAACATTTGATCTCCCAAACTGCAGCACCTCACACTCACCCAGATTAAACTCCATCTGCCATTTTTCCGCCCCTATATACAACTGATCTTTATCCCGCTGTATCCTTTGACAACCTTCTACATTATCCACAACTCCACTGATCTTTGTATCATCTGCAAACTTACTAACCCACCCATCTACACTTTTTTTTCCAAGTTAATTATATTTATCACAAACAGCAGAGATCCCAGAACAGATTGCTGCGCAACACCATTAGTCACTGACCTCCAGCCAGAAAAACACGCTTCCACAACTACCCTCTGTCTCTTATGGGCAATCCAGTTCTGAAACCACACACCAAGTCACCATGGATTCCATGCATCTTAATTTTCTGGATTAGCCTACCACGTGGGACCTTGTCGAAAGTCTTACTAAAATCCATGTAAACAACATCCACTGTTCCACCCTCATCGATCACCTTTGTCACCTTCTCAATAAATTCAATCAAATTAGTAAGACATGACCTACCCTGCACAAAGCCATGCTGACTGCCTGTAATTAGGCCATGCTTTTCCAAATGTCTGTAAATTCTTTCCCAAGCTTCCTAACCACCAATGTGAGACTCACTGGCCTATAGTTTCCTGGATTATCCCTAGTTCCCTTCTTGAACAGAGGAACAACATTAGCTACTTGACAGTCCTTCGGGAGTGGCTCGCGAGGATACAAAGATCTTGGTCAATGCTCCAGCAATCTCCTCTCTTGCCTCTTTCAGTAACCTAGGGTCGATACCATCCACATTAATGCTCTTAAAGAGATCCAACACCACTTCTTTCTTGATCTCAATATGCCCTAGTATATTAGCACGCTCCACACAAATCTCACTATCCTCCATATTCTCATCCCAGGTGAATACTGATGTGAAATACTCATTTAGGATCTCACCCACATATGTTGCCTCCATTCACAAGTTCCTGCCTTTATCCTTGAGTAGTCCTACCTTTTCCCTAGCTATCCTCT